ACTAAAAGCTCTCTCCCCATCTTTCTTATAAGCCCTCTTAAAAGGGGGTCTCCACGATGATCCCAACCACAGAGCTGGAACAAAATCCATCCTATTGAGGACAAAGTCCATCACCGCCCTTAACCAAGGGCACTTCTGTTTAAAAGCAGGGCTGGGAAGCACTGTCTCTCCAATACAGTATGTCCGCTCTGCCTAACCTCCAAGTGGCACAAATAGCTGATTTTTTTTTTCCTTCCCAGCCAAAACGTGTCTCCGTTTTCACCCGTTCCCTCGTTTCGCACCTGTGAGCTGGTTACTACCCCCGAGTGATGCGCTGGTTGGTTCCCCCGTGGTCGTGGTCCACGCTCCCAGGGGGAATACTGGCAGGCACCTCCTTGTGACCTAGGTGCAGATGAAAAGCATTCCTGTGGGCAGGGACTGTGGAGTGGTTGGGAGGCTGGAGCTCCTTGCCCGGGGCTGTCTGAGTGTCCGTGCGTGTTGCCACCTGGACTGAAGAACCCAGGATGCCCGTCGGGGGAGCCGGGGCGAGCGGCGCGCGGGCTGTGGTCAGTCCGGCGTTCCCCGAGTCTCTCCCCAGCCTCTCCATGGCTCTCAGTGGGTATTTCCAAGGTTTCCATGCTCTCACGCTGTAGTCATTGCCGAAGCATCAGAAAACACGGCGTTCTGAGGGGTAGTTAGTGGCAGGCGTCGCTTATGTGTCATTTTGCAAGCGATATCATACGCAGTAATTAGTGCTGTGCCGTGCAGGAGAAGTGTCATTGCAGCTGGAAAGGGTAATGTATGCGTTGGGCTGCTCCCACTCCATCTCCTGGGGGGGAATTGCTGAAGAACACAATTGAACCTGCGTGGTTTGCTGATAAGGGGTGGTGGGGCAGGTTCTCCTGTCCTCCTTGTGGTGTGGGCACCCCTGAGAACATGAGGTAAGCACTTCAGCTTCTCTGCAGCCCAGGTGATCTCAGAAAGCAGATAATAAACCCAAATATTTGAGGTGAGTCCCATCAGCTCAGGTCTCTGGTTTGCTCCTGGTGGTCTGCACCTCTTGCACATGCATCCTTTGCTGTTCAGGAGGACCAAGCTGGTTCTATCTGTGATGAGGCACAGCTGCAGTTTTGGGGTTTCTTTGGTCCTTCAACTATCACTGCATGCCCACCCCATGTGGCTTATGATACTTACCTCTGCAAAGATGTAAAGAGCAGGTTTTGAGTCCATGGAGGCCAGGGAAGGTGGATCCCAGTAGCATGTCATGGAAACCAGTTGCACTCAAGAGCCACCCTGCAAGGCAACCCTGCAACTCCCCCACCACACATAGCACTTCTAGGAGAAGACCCTAAAATTTATTTATGGGTTGCTTATACAAATATTTAGTACCCTAAGTCCACTGCACTGACCCTGCAGAAGACCTTGCCCGATGCTCATCTCTCAGCATGACCCAGAAATTCAGAAGGGAAGGCGCCCGATATCTTCCACCAGTCTGCAGAGCAGCCAGTCCAGCACCAGAAACAAAAGTGAGAAGCCTTTCGCAACCAAGGCTGGGTATTATATGACTGGCCGGGCAGATTCTGGCATGCAGCCTCTTCTCTTAGGAAATCAAGCAGACTCTTTGTCTGCTTTCCAGCAGGAACTGCTGCTTTCATTGCCCGGCTTCGCCCCGTACGGGGGAAACCGGCTGGAGAGCAAAGGGAAGTTTTTCTCTCAGACAGCCCCAGCCCCCGGGGGATGATTACAGGTTAAACCGAGAAGCATGTGAGTCTCAGCTCACCTGTCCTGTTGTCTGCCTCATGCTCCTTTTTCAAATCCCTCGTCCACGTTTGGTGGCCGGTTTGAACCACGTGGGAACCTGGTGGAGAGGGAAGGGATGGTGCCCGTGGTGGGAGTTGGGCTGTGGCATGCAGCAGGGAGGAGCAGTTATAAATGGTTAAATAAATAATAATTCCAATGTGGGAGTGCTAATTTAATGGGTATAGCGTGTTTACCTTAAAATATTGTAAGTAAATATGAATTATTTTGCGAACGATGGATGCAATTGGCTGGGTGGTCACACAAGTGCTGGTACTTCAGGGCTGTGATTTCCCTTGACCTCTCAAACCATTTGCACCATTTTTTTCTTTCAGCCCCCATCAGGGCTGACTCAGGGGTCAGAGAACTTTGGGAAATGCTGTGCTCCTGCTGAAGCAAGCTCCCAGGTGCTTTGGGGTGGCCTGGTGCTCACATGGGGCACCGTGGGTGAGGATGGAACACCCTTTGAGAAATACATGCAAGTCATCATGGATGGGTGAAGAGGTTGATAGTGGCAACCTCAGGCAGCATGGTCCTTCCAGTAAGCAAGCTTCATTGCCTGTGCCAGGCTTCCTCCTGCCCCATCATACAGGGGTCAGCAGCAGATAGTTAGTGCCTGCACCCCAGCATGCTAGAAACATGATCAGGAACATGCAGAGAAACAGGGACACCTTTCTGATCCTCCACTCTTTGGTCCGTTGCACTGACGCAGGTGGCTGACAACCATCTGCGGCCATGGATTTGGACTCTCATTCCCCAGAGCACCACCAGATCTGAGTGGTGGGCCCTGCTCTGTTGCACAGGGATGTGGCTGGGCTTGGTGGGCAGGTTGTGGGCCTCCCCAGCCTACATGTCACAGGCAGGCTCACCTGTGGCGCTTGGGACTGGTATCTCTTGGTACCTGGGTGGAGCAGTGAAGTACATGGTGCCTTGGATGAATGAGGTGGGGCACACAGTGCCTGAATGGAGTGATTGAGCAATGGAGGACATCCTGGATGGACAAGGTGGTGTACATGGTGTCTCCATGGACAAGGTAGAGTAAGTGGTACCCTGATGGACAAGATGGAGCACATGCATTCTCCCTGTTCAGCCGAGTCACATCAGGTGAGGTCCAGGAGGGCAAGGATGAAGTTAGAGGGTGCCTGCCCAGGGCTAGGGGTAGGATATATTCTGTTTCATCATAGGTAGGTAAGACTGTTATTCCCTAGCCAAATGCTTGACAGTGACATATGCATCCTCAGAAACGCCTTTTGAGGTAGAGAAGTGTGTCCCAATCCTGCAGGTGGGAAGATGGGGCAGGGAAAGCCCAAGTGAAGTTGCAGCTTTTCCACTGAGAGCAGGATCATTGAGGAGACCACAACAGAGGATAGGCTGGAGCTGGACCTTCTTAATCAGTATTATGTTCTTTACTAAAGAACAGCAAAAATAAGAAAACTGAATATGTATTTTATTTGTGGCCTTACTTCATCCCACGCTCATGAGCTAAATACCCCAGGAGGGAATTTCTAGACTACTCTTGTTTATATTTTTCCTAATTTATTTTTCTTTTTTTTTTCCTTGATAGTGTTGGGTTTAAAATATTCTCATGGGTGGTTTCTTGTGAAGAATCTGTGAACTGTTTTTGAGAACTTATCTCAGAGCATGTGTCTTGGGCTTAACTAACAGTTTCCAACCAGCTCAGCAGAAAGATAAACTGGGGCGGGGGGAAAGGAGGGGAGAAAACACTGTTGCACGACTCGAAAACCCTGGCTGAACCTTTGGCTAATGTGAGATAAAACCAGTGGACAACATGCTCATGGAGATGCTGTAAACATCATCTTCAAAGTGAACGAACTGCTGTCTGCCGAGTACAGAAGAGGCTGAAGACAAAACTCTTGAGAGCAATGATAATTCCTTGCATTACCTCTTTTTTCCCCAGCTATTTTCCAGCCGTTGTGGAGCTGGTAAACAAACAGGCGTTTATTTGTAAAGGAAAGGAAACAAGGAAAAACAAGAGTGGGAAGGAGAGATGATAAGGCTGAGAATCACAATTTGTGACTTTAGCTAAAGGATGTGACTTTGGAGCACGTTCAGTTATGCCGAGCGACTTTTATGAGGGCAGTTTTAATCAGTTCAGCTCCTTTTCTGAAGTTTGCCTTGCCCTAATGAATTTCAGAAACTAATAAAGCCAGTTTTCCCTTTTTTTTCTCCTTTTTTCTCAGTGGTTAGTGCATGCACTCAGCTCCCCACTGCATGCAGGGATTAGCTTGGGGCCATCAGGCGTTGTTAATCCCAAAGTGATGAGATGGAAGTGGCCATGGCCTTGAGCGTTGCCAGTACTTGTCATAAAGATGAAAACAAAGAAAAATGTCTATTTTTGGTCCCATTTCAAGAGTCCTTGCTCATGGTTTCAAGGTTTGTGGGGTGAGTCATGGTGAGGTCCCACACTTTGCTGCTGTCAGGTAGAGACATTGACTGTCACTGCATGACCCGAGTCTGAACCAAGTAGGATGGGCATCTTCCTGCACCATCCCATGCCATGCCCAGCAACATTTTGGGTCTTTCCTGAAAGTTACTCCTGCTTGCAAGCTCATGACACAGAGTTCATGGAGAGCAGGGTTGGAGTTGGTGCACCTGAGACTCCCTAGTTTCATTGGCACCCCTTGCACCTGAGACTCCCTAGTTTCATTGGCACCCCTTGCACCTGCACCACTGTATAATCAGCCTAGAAGGAGCCATATTAATTAGGGTGTATTGGATGTAAAACCTTCCCATCAGGTAATTTTTAGGCTCTCCAAAGTGTCCCCATGGGGATGGGGAGGTTTGGTGGTGGGTGGCTGCCTCTTGGGCAGAGCCTTTCCCTCCCAAAGAGCTGCTCCCAGGTCTGTACTGCTCCAGTGTTGTTGACTGATGGTTGCATTTAGTCACTGTGTGTGTGAAATGAGTGTGCTTTCTCGTTGCCTGCCATGGGGTAAAACAAAGCATTGTAACCTGAACAAAATTTATTATGAAAGTTGTTAATCTAAATTTTACCCTGTGTTTTGCCGCTGTTTACCTGAAAATTTTGTGTGGACAATCTCTTTTCTTCCCTCTTTTTGATTTCCTGTTCTTTCCTCCTGGAAGTGTCAAAAGCCAAGCTGCATGAAGAGAGATGCAAGGAAGGTCATAAGGGAGGAGGAGGAAGAGGAGGAAGGGGATGATGAGGTCATGGATTTCTCACTACTTCTCTCTTCTCTCTTTTGCAGTTGTTGCAATCTCAGGATGTGAAGGAGGATGCTGTGCTCTGCTGCTCCATGGAGGTAGGGAGGCACCTGCACATCTGCCCTAATCCTCATTGCTTTACCCCTTCTGTCCCTGGCCATGCATGTGTGACGTTTACAGACCCAAACAGCTGTGTTGCTTCTTTGAATTATGGTTTGGGTTGGAAGATATCTTCCAACCAAAGGTCATTTGGTCCAACACCCCTCTGCAAAGAGCAGGGACAACTTGCTCTAGCAGGTCCATGTCCCTCCTGTGATGAGGACTCCAGAGCTGGATTCAGGACTCCAGTTGGGGTGTCACAAAAACAGAGTAGGTAAAAGACATCATGGTGAGATAAGAGGTGGCCCTTGAGACTCTGTCAGTGGACTCCTGGTACATGTAAATGGATTCAAGAAGTTTGGTAGCTGGGGTCCCATCACAAAATTATATCATTCTCCTTCCTTCAAATCTCGCCCTCCATTAGTTTTTTAAGCACAGAAACACCTGTATGGGAGCAAAAGCTGTCCTGTTGCTCATATGAGAGGTTTGCACTGCTCAGCAGCAGTTTCTCAGAGAAATGCTGGTACAAATATAGCTGAGTTTCATTAGTTACTTTTTTGGGAAGTGATTGGCCCATGGGGATAGATGCTTTCCTTGCAGACAGCAGTTGAAATTGCAGCCTGAGTGGCTAAAATTCAGCTAAGCAACAGGCAGCCTAGGAGAAGGGTTTGACTTTTTAAGGTGAAGACCTTGGGGAGCTCTGCTCTGGGGAGCCTTCCATGCTGGGGGACTCACCACTGTCCACCCCAAGCTTGGACCTTCTCTGTGGAACCTCCTAAGGCTTATGCTGCTCCATGGAGGCTCTTCAAGTAGTAATTGTTTCAGAAAAAGCCCTTGGCTGTGCTCAGCAAAGCTGCACAACAGGTATAAATGCAGATCTCGGTGGAGCAGGATTTGTTATGCACACAGGAGTGTTCTGCTTATTCCAGCTAATGACTGGGAGTCACTGGGAGCTGTGAATCAGCGAGTAAATGAAGGGCCAGGTAGAAGGCAGGAATACCACATCACAGCCTGCACTTTGTTTTGACAATAGCGTGATTTTTAGGTGGGATTTTTTTTTCTTCTTCTTTTTTTTTTTTTTCAAAAGAGTTCCAGCGTTGCTGCCTTTGAAGTCAGTGGGAGCTGAACCATACACTCCTCCTGCAACCCGGCACTGATGCTTTTGAAAACCTCGCCCTTCATGCTCAGCTCTTGGAGCCTGCTGCTGCTGGGTGGTTTTGGTTTTCAGAAGCCACGACGCCTTTAACCTTGCCTGCACCACGCAGGGGAGAACTGGAGGGACGGGAGGTGTCTGTAAAAGGCAGTGGGGTGTTTTAATATTGATAGAGGGATAGAATCACAGACTGTCTCAAGTTGAAAGGGACTCGCAAGGATCAATAATCCACGACTGACCCCTTCTTCTCCCAACAGCTGCAGAGCACTGGCCGGCTGCTGGAGGAGCAGCTGCCCGAGATGATGACGGAGCTGTTGGCGATTGCACGTGACAAGATGCTGTGCCCCTCCGAGTCCATGCTGACGAGGTCCCTGCTGCTGGAGGTCATCGAGCTGCACGCCAACAACTGGAACCCCCTGACACCCACTATCACGCAGTACTACAACAAGACCATCCAAAAACTGACGGCTTGAGGGGCAGGGTGAGGTGGGGTGGGAAGGGACGAGGAGAAGATACGCGCCTCGATGGGATCCGGCAAGAGCTTTTCCGATTTAAACCCCTCCAGCAGACCAAACCCCAGCATGCTTGAGAATATGTTCGTGGGGTGGGGAGGGAGAAGCATGTTTCTTTTTCCGCCGCACCGCCAAGTGCCACCCCTCCTCCCCGCCGTGGTTTTGTTTTAGGGGTTTCTTTTCTGAACTCATTGCTCAAGCGGCAGCAGCGCATCCCGCCGGGTTATTGTTTGGCTTTCGAAAGAAGACACAGAATTTGGAAAAGGAAAAAAAAAAAAATATAATCCAAGTGGGGGCTGGCATTGTTTTCACGCCGTCCTCCTGCCTTGCCCTGGCCAACTGGCGGGAGACAGCAAGCAGCAGATGTCTCGGGAGGACAAAGCCAGACACACACTACACCAGACGCTCATAATTGATGGCTTTTGTCGAGCGGGGCTTGCGTTAGGTTCCCCCCCTCCTTCTCTTGTTTTCGACTTTCTGTGTGTCCCCCCACCTACCCGCCACCCCTTCGAGAGCAGATCGGAGAGCGGGACGACTTTCTTATTTGCACTGGCTTTTCTTTTTCTCGAGCATTTGCAATTTCTTCTTATTTTATTGTGTCGTCGAACGGACAATTGCGAGCAGCTCGGAGGCGCGTAGAGCAATGCCTTCCCACAAGCTGGCTAATGGTTTATGTGAAGATGCTGAAGCAGAAGGAGTGTTTTAAATGAGTCCAAAAGCCACTGCAGAAGTTACATAGCCACTGTCATCTTGCCAGTAACCTCTTTGGTGGATTGAGAAATGTGTTCTCTGAGCTGGGGGCTCTAAAAAAAGGGGATTCTGCGGCTCTTGCTGTTCAAGTTGCCGTTATTCCTCAGCCACTATAACCCTTTTTTTTTTGTAATACTTTTTTTTTGTTTCCATTGAAGGAGTGCTTTATTGTAATTACTGTCACGGTTGTAATTATGCATTTAAATCCAGGCCTGTTATAGTTGGGCCTAATAATGTACAGGACGAGGGAGAAATGAAGGTTTGATGTTCTTCTTTGGAGACTGGTCAAAGAGAAGACAGACAATGTATGGCAAAACAAAAGAGTGAAAAAAGAAGACGAAAAAAATAGATAAAGCCAAAAATAGAGGTTTTGAGCCTGGCTTCTAACTAGCTGAATATGCTATCCAGTGTTTCTAGGTGTGCAGTGTGCAGGAGAAGCTGTGTCCCGTGGTCGGTGTAAGTGGCACCATGTCATTGAGGGATGGGTGACTGATTTTCAGAGAGGCAGAGTTTTCTTGGGGATCCCCAGGTTGCTCCAGGATCCCCTTGTTGCTCCGTGCTGGAGCATCCCAAGGGAGAGGGTGGCTGCAGGGAACAATGTTGAGATGCCACCTGGGTGAGGAAATGCCCAGAGGGTGAGGAGGCTGGTCCGGAGGAACACCACGCCGTTGCATCGCTCCCCAAATTGTGAAGAAGATTTGATCATCTCCTTATTTGTTCATCTGTCAACACTTTGACTTACTAAATCCCTCCAGGTGCTTATTTTAGTGAAGCCTAATGAGGGTGCAAGCTGCCCCATCCCATCTGCACAGCAGATGAGGAGCCAAGGAAGGCACGATGCCGGCAGCCCATCCTGGTTTTTCCCATTATTCAATTTACTTTCCTTTACTGTGATAAGAGAATTCATGCTGCGATGACGGCGCACTTGGACCCCGGACCAGGCAGGCTGGGTCTGAACACAGCAGCTCAAACCCATTTTTCCGAGGAAGATGTTGAATTTCTGGTGGCTTGTAGAGAAGACAGATTTCACCCCGACCTCTTTGGATGTGCAGTATGTTCTTGGGTGCCTTATGAATGTGTTGGTCTGTACGTGATGGGGAGGAAGCTTTTGCTGCAAAATTTAAAGGGCAGAAGGTTTCAGCAGAAAATGCATTGCAAGAGGTGGGAGTCGTGATGCTTGAGTTCAAAATTATTTGGATTCTCATCTGATTGTCTGCTGTGCTTATTCCGCACATGGAGCAAGAGGAGCAAGCTGAAAACGGGAGCTTCAGTTTTCCTGTCTGCTCAGAAAGCAGCAAAATGATTTCTGAGTGCACCGGAAGTGTCTGGAAAAATGAATTTTTACTTCGTGGATTTGAGCCCAGGAACTTTGCATGGTGACAACGCCTTGCGTTGGGTCAGCTTCATTAGTAGCAATGGGGTTTGAGAGTATTAATGAGCAGATGAACTTCATTAAGGCAGCAAAGCCCATCAGTATTACAAGGCTCAGGGTTGTGCCCATTGCTCTTTGTTTTTTCCTGCTCCCTGAGTTCTCAGGGAGTGGAGTAGAAGGGGATATAACACCCATCGCAGTGCGCTCAGGCACAGCATCAGTCTTCTGGGAGAAGACCTGAAAACCAGTTTTGTCTTCATTTTTTTTTTATTTTTTACAGAGCAGAAAAGTCCTATAACAGGGACGCAGCCTGATGGGTCGGGGTGCCAGGGATCCTGCCAGCAGTGATCCAGACCACCACTCCGGCCCCTGCAGCTTCTCACATCCCCCAGAATTTTTTCTTGGGATGTAGTGAAAGAAAAAAAAAAAAAAAATCCAGAGACTTGGGGATTTTGTTTCTAAAAACTTGAATTTTCATCAGTGCATCAGGAGGCATTCAGAGTCAAAGTGTAAGCCACAAGGCAGTATTTCTGCTAAAGCGTTTCCCTACCCCTGCCTGCTGTGAGGGTTTATTCAATTTTCCCATTGCAGGGCAATCCTGCAACCCCCACTGGCCAGGCTTGGCCCATAACTTTCCCTTCCAACACTGGGATTTTTCCCAACGAAGAACTTTTATGTGGAGTCTGTTTGGTTTTGGTGTCTTGCCATTTATCTCTGCTATTAACATGGGTTCGTCCAGCCATTGACTGCTTTGGTACATCAGTCACTCTGTTGATATATGAGAATAAAAGTGTTGACCAAAAATGTTTTTTTTTTCCCCAAAATTACATGCTGCCAATAGTATCTTTCTGAAGGCCATCTGTAGGAAGCCGGCAGGCACGTGGCATCATGCACCAGGGTACCGTGTTGGGAGAAGAGGCACCAGGAGGACATTTGATGAGAAGCAACGCTGGGGAATTTTTTTGGGATGCCTGGTGAGCACCTGGGGATCCTAGAGTGTTTTCTTCTCTTTTTTTTTCTCCCTTATTTGTCTTTGTGTAGAAATGGTCGCCAAAGAGCGTAATTCTCTCCAATGTGTGTTTTTAGGTGCAAAGCCACCAGCTACGTCTCCCCAGATTAGCCAGATTCCATCTTTGCTGCTCAGTAAAAATCATCTGTGTGGGGTTTTGCTATGTTGTCCCCATGTGGCTACATCAGCAAAGGGGGAAAATAACCTCTTCGGGCCAAATATGTGTGGGGCCAAACCTCGGGCTGGTGCAAGAGCGAGGGGCTGAAGCCTCTGCGAGGAGTGATGCTCCACACCATGGCCATGCCCCTTTCCCTCCGATGCAGGGCAGGTTTTCTGACTCCCTGCCAGATTCCCCAGCATCTAATTCACCTCATTCCTGGTGAAATTCTTTCCCAAACTGACGGTTTTTGCTACCCGCAAAGTGACTTGCTTGGTTTCCCCATGAGGGATTTGTTTGGAGAAGTCTCATGCAGAGGAAGGTGAAACAGAAGTGGGGGAAAAGAAAGGAAAAGTAAGTGATTTGCTTGGTTCCCCCCTTCCCTTGAAGGAGATTAATTAGTATCTATTCTTAGCATGATTGATGGCTTTGAAAGAAAACTTGTCAGAATAACTTATGATTTATTTTCATGCTTATTTTTATAACATCCCTCACTTGGAAATCACTCAAAATCTTAAATATGATTTTTTTTTTTTTTTATTTCCCTGCTGGGTACTTTATGGCTTTACACTAATTTTACTCTTCTTGGCGTTAGCTATTAGACAGTCACAGTGATATTTTCAGTATTCTTTCAGGAGAAATTATACTAAGGGTTGCAAAGTCCACTGTCAATAGCCAGGGGAGCTGTGGTGTCCTGCAGAACACAGAGTTAACGCTAGCAATTTTTTTTTTTAATGTATTTATTTGCATTTGAAAAAGCAACATTTTTAATTTAATCATATTTGTTAAACTAAGCGCTTTAAGAAAAAATTTTAAAAAAAACTTTAAAAAAAAGCAAAAAGGTTTTGGGGAGAATAAAGACTAGATATTCATACTAGAGAAATCACAAACTCATCGTTGTCAGCATTTCAGAGACTGTTAAAACAAGGGAGCTAATAACTCTTTGTGGCAATTCAGTCTTTGTTTATAGAACATCCAGACCCACTGTATGCTATAAAATGCATCATCTGAGTAATAAATGTTTTAAGCTTGACATTTCCCCATCTCTTTGTGGGTACACGCTATCGCTTCTGCTGGTCTGGGAGGGAACGTCCTTTTGTTCAGAATGGAGGAAAAGGAATATGGAGGGGGGAGGGGAGAGAAGATTATCCCTCATGGTGTCTGCTTGGAAATACAGCTTGGAAGTGCTCTGTGGGGATGGCTCAGCCTGTGCTCCTGATGCTGGGTCACATCCTGCTGCACCTCTGGGTGGAGTTGGTCCCTCTTGCTCCTCATCACTTCTCACGGGGTTGAGGATGAAGCCCATGGGAGCAGTGCAAAGGGCTCAGAGGTCCATGGGTGATGGATTGGGCCACTCTCTGCCTCCACATCTGCCTGTTCCCATCTGTTTGTGCCGTACCTCAGCTGAGCCTGCAGGTCTGTTAGAGGACCCCCTCAATTTATCACATCAGTTTTACCCAATGCTATGGCAATGAGGGCTTGCAAGCCACTGCTGCCTGTTAGAAAACAATCTTTTAAAAAGTTTTTATTCAGAGGTCTCCTCTGGAAAACCCTTCTCTAGCCCATGCCAGTTAATTATTGGCTAACTGAAGTGCATGTATTGGCCTGAAACTTGTCCTGGCCTGAGGATGGGAGAAAGAGGGGAAAAAGTGGTGGGAGGTGAAACAAGGGGTGACAACAGCACCAGGATCCTGCAGGGAAATTCATGTTCCTCCCCAGCACTCTAATCCCCATGTTCTCTCTTCATTTTCCTTATGCCAGAGCATCTTCTCATTCAAATAATGGGCTCACGGGACACAACCAAGTATCTCAGATGTCCAAACTCCCCTGGGGGCCAGCCCCTCCCAGATCCAATATGTTTTTTCCAGAGAGCAGGGCTTTGGGGGAAATTCCTATCATTAGCCAACATGTCTAGACTTCAGCATGGTGCCCATTCACTGGAAACCTCACCTACTCCCACCTCTTTAAGGAATAGTGGGCTTGAAACTGAGCCGCAGAAAGTTGAATGTGGGATCATTTAGAATTTAGATGGGATATTGGGAAGAACTTCTTGGCTGTGAGTGTGGTGAGGCCCTGGTACAGGTTGCTCAGAGAAACTGTGGTTGCCCCATCCCTGGAAGTGTTGAAGGCCAGGTTGGATGGAGCTTGGAGCAACCTGGGCTGGTGGAAGGTGTCCCTGCCCATGCCAGGGGGTGGAACTGGGTGAGCTTTGAGGTCCCTTCTAACCCCAACCATTCTATGACTCTATGACCTACCATAAATGACCATGTGCCACCCTTTCCAAGGAGCCATCCCTTAACGTCCCTATCATGAGCCCCCACCTACAGCCAGACCCTACAGCTCCAGGTTTTGCTGGAGCTGGAGTTTGACCTGTTCCACATAATCAGAGTTTTGAGCATCTGGACCAGGTTTGGGAAGAGTTTATCAGAAATGGAATTGGACTGGGAGAAGTGAAGCCAAGAGCAGAGATGATCCCTGGGCCCCTGGGACCACCAAGACACATTAAATGAGAAAATAACCTGCAGTAACAGAAAATTTGGAGCAGATGGATGGGCATCCGTACAGAGCTGAAGCTTTCAAGATGCAGGAATATTTCTGTGAATTCCTCATGACTGCCAAAATCCCAGACAGCAGCAAATAAAGAAACCCTATGGATCACAGTAAGTTTCTTTGGCTTTCCTAAAACATGGCAAACCTGCAAATAGCTGAGATGCAGGATGTTCTCTTCTTCCAGCAGCTCCAGTCCTGTACTGGATATTAAGGGGAGTTTTTAAATGCTTGTGCTGGTGGCAAAATGGGTAACAAAGATAAGTAAGCTTAGTGTAACAGCACTGCTGCTGTGTTTGCCAGCTGAACTGTAGCTTCAATGATTATTGCTTGGGATCCAAGAAAAACATTGATAGTGAAACAGTAATGCACACTACAAGAATATATGGCCTCTTCCTTTTGAGTCCAACGTTGTGATCCTTAGCTATGAAACTGGAGACTTGTGTGGCTACATAAATATGATTACTGAGCTTAGCTTGATGTCTGTTCTACTCTTCAGGACTTCTCTGAATTCCTAGGGACAGATTTCTGCAAAAAATATCACGTACTTAGATATTTGGGCTATATTTTATTGATTTAAACACTTACAGGATGCCTACACTGCTTATACCTCTTGGAGAGTCCTGTGGTTATCCTTTCTGTCGCAGATTAGCGTGAGGTCTTGAGGGCAGATGGTCCCAGAAATGGAGTCTTTATAGGGAGGTGGTTTGGCTTTCCCCTCTGTGCCAAGCCACTGCTCCCTTTGGAGCTGCAGCCTCTGAGGGGGGTAAAGTGGTGTTGCAAAGGACAAAGCCTTGGTGTATGGGATGCTCAGCTGATGCCTCATTCCGTGCCAGATCAAAGCCATTTCCCACCAGTCATGACCGTGCCACAGAGTTAATGGGAAAAAATACTAACTCCCTCTCAAGAGAAATACTGAGATTTCAGAATTCCATTCTGTCCTAAATCATCCCAGTTTTTTCACCAAACAAAGCGTTTTGTTTCGATGTATGTTATGTTGCTGTAGCAATAACATTTAAACAAATTGTTTGGATTTTATTAGCTCAGACCTTCTCAATAACTTCCCATAGAGCTTTCCCGTCAGAAGTTTCCACTTTGGGGAAAGTGATGCCAGGAGATGGCAAAGGTCTGATGGGAGAAATCACCTCTACCATGCGCTGCAAGGTCCTGGCCTGGCTTCAGCCTCTGCTCCTCTTCCTCCAGCCCTGCCAGAGGGAAATGCATCAGCATTTCTGGCCCCACACATATCATTCTTGATGTCCAAATACATGACATGTGGCCTCCTGTGAAGCCAAGACTTCAAGTTGAACATCAGGAGGAATTTCTCCCTGGGAAGGGTGGTCAGGCATTGGAAGGAGCTGCCCAGGGAGGTGGTGGAGTCCCCACCCCTGGAGGTGTCCAAGGAACGACTGGACGTGGCACTCAGTGGTCTGGGCTGGGACAACGTGGAGAGCAGTCACAGGGTGGACTCGATGATCTCGGAGGTCTTTTCCAACGTGGATGATTCTGGGATTC